GGCCCAAAAATAGACATCTCGAAATTCCATTTTGACCCGAAGTGCTGAAGCATTGTTTATCAATCGAGGATGGAAAACATAAGAAAAAGGAGTATTTGTCTTCTTTTTAAAAGTGAATTGAAAAGGGTATGGGAAAATAATTGTATAAAAAAACTCATTTGGCACCTGAGAAGAACAGGAATCCTGCTTTTTCAGGAACTGCGTTCGCACAGACGGTTCTCACACGGGCAGCACCTGGAGCTCGTCAAGGAGACCGCGGGACGTTGCTCTCGTTTCCCTGCGGCTGGCGAGAGGCCTGCGAGGCAGGCCTGCTCTGGGCGGGTCTCCGCTCTCTGCCTGCTGGCACCAGACTCACCGCTTATATCCTGGCAACCGCAGGAACCCAGGCTGCCTTAGCCAGAGTGCACAGGGGTTATTCAGGCTCGAAAATAGCTCTGCAGTCTTCTCACAAGGAACTGAGAGCCGTTTCCTCCTCGCCGGGCCGTCAGAGCTGGGCTGCGTCTGGGCCTCTGGCTGAGTTGGTGCTCATCGTGGTTCCTGCTCGAGCCCAAAACGGTGAAATTCAACAGTGCAGCATTTAGACAGGAAGAAGAGCTCTGGTGCCGGACTGTCCTGCAGTCTGAGGTCTAAGCCACTGAACTCGCCAAAACGTTTGCTTGAACTGAACCGGCTCTCCCAGGTCTTGAATTGCTGGTGCTTTTTCAGAAGTGGCACCCAGGCCCTCAAATGGCAAATAAAAGAGGGCGCATCTGAGACGGAGCAAAAGGAAGAGGCTCTTTGCATGACACGAGGCAGGTGTCTGGAACAGACGCCCCGGCCCTGTTGTGGAAGGTGACTCCACCAGCTCTTTCAGGAAACGTGGATGCGATTCTGGGAGCAATTAGCGGCTGGTGACGAAGCGAGGAAGCCAGGTCAAGTGGCCTCCTGCTTGAACACAGGAGAGCTCCTCCGGCATCGGGACAGCTCGATGTCTGCACTCCACAGAAGCTGAATCATCGTTTCCTGGAGGTGAAAGGCGGGTTTTTTTTTTAGAAACAACAGCTTCATCTCCCTCCCAGAGCGCAGCCGTTTCGAGGACGCGTGACATCATAGACTCCTATTGTGAGACTCCAGGAAGGGAACCTGATCTGCTGCCGTCATTAGTCTTCCAACATCCTTCGCTGTTTGCAGGCAAAGCAAAACAATTCCCT